AGTGGTTCTCAACCTTCCTAATGCCTCGACCCTTTAATACAGTTCCTCATGTTGTGGTGACCCCCAACCATAAAATTATTTTCGTTGCTACTTCATAACCGTAATTTTGCTACTGTTATGCATCGTAATGTAAATATCTGATATGCAGGATGTATTTTCATTGTTACAAATTGAACATAATTAAAGCATAGTGATTAATCACAAAAACAATATGTAATTATATATGTGTTTTCCGATGGTCTTAGGCAACCCCTGTGAAAGGCAAAGGGTCGAGACCCACAGGTTGAGAACCGCTGTTCTAGACAGAAGTGTGTGACCACCAAGCTGTCCAAGCCTGGCGGCGGAGTTTCTTTCCCTGTCTGCCATGCCTATGCCAGCGCTGGCTCCATGTGCTCCGACGCCAGCAGTGGGTGGGAGGGAAGAACTCTAGCTCCATCCTGGAGGCCCAGAAGCAGCTCAATCAAACCCAGTACCCCGGGCCCTTCCATAGCACCTCAACTCCTGGTCCCACTTTACATGTCACAGAGCCTGTTTTCCCATATTATCTAAAGGATTGTTTCAATAGCCCTGTTTCCACCCATTTAACAAAGGAGCGTTCAAGAGAAATGTATATGCCTTCTTAGGGATCACACAGGTGGGAAATGGCAAAGTTAACCTTGAACCCATTCCAGTCCCCCATGGCTGCGTTCAAAACCCTCTGGAGAGAAACCACACACTATCGTTTTCACCCCAGTGTGTGTGTGTGTGTGTGTGTGTGTTTTCTCCAATTCAAAGAGCAGATTTATTTTTTAATTTTTCAAATTTTGCTAACACAGGATTAAAAAGTCAAAACATTCTGAGCAGAAGAATTCCAAATAAATCCATAGTTTATGCAGATAGCCCACCACCAGGAAGATGGAGCATAACTCCCCACTCCTGAAGTGTGGGCTTCAACAGTGACTTCCTTCCGAAGAGCACCGTATAGAGAGCAGGGAAGAACATCTCTTCACTAAACGGTGTGGGAAATTGGACAGGTGCATGCAGAAACATGCAACTAGACCACCAACTCACACCCTACACAAGAATAAACTCAAAATGGATAATAGACTTAAATGTAAGTCTCAAAACCATACAAATTCTAGAGAAAACATGGGTAGTAAAATTTCAGACATCTCACGGAGCAATATTTTTGCCAATGTGTCTCTGAGGGCAAGGGAAACAGAAAAAAATAAGCAATGAGACGACATCAAACTAAAAAGCTTCTGCACAGCAAATGAAACCATCAACAAAACAAAATGGGAACCCACCCTATGGGAGAACATATTCACTAATGATTCATCTGATAAGGGGTTAATTTCCAAAATATATAAAGAACTTACACAACTCAATACCAGGAAGACAAACAATTCAATTAAAAAAATGGGCAAAGGACCTGAATAGGCACTTTTCCAAAGGAGATATACAGATGGCGAATAGACATATGAAAAAGTGCTCAAGGTCACTAATCATCAGAGAAATGCAAATTTAAACTACAGTGAGCTATCACCTCACACCTGTCAGAATGGCTACTATCAATAAATCAGCAAACAACAAGTGCTGGCAAGAATGTGGAGAAAAAGGAACCCTAGTACACTATTAGGAGGAATATTTTTTTTAAATATATTTTATTGATTTTTTACAGAGAGGAAGGGAGATAGAGAGTTAGAAACATCGATGAGAGAGAAACATCGATCAGCTGCCTTCTGCACATCTCCTACTGGGGATGTGCCTGCAACCCAGGTACATGCCCTTGACCGGAATCAAACCTGGGACCTTTCAGTCCGCAGGCCGACACTCTATCCACTGAGCCAAACCGGTTTCGGCGGAATGTTGTCTGATACAACCACTGTGAAAAACAGTATGGAATTTCCTCCAATCAGAAAGAATATATGCACCCCTATGTCCATAGCAGCACTGTTTATAGTAGCCAAGATCTGGAAACAGCCCCAGTACCCATCAGTAGATAAGTGGATAAAAAAGCTGTGGTACATTTACACAATGGAATACATGATTGTAAGAAAGAAGGAACTCTTGCCTGGCCGGCATGGCTCAGTGGTTGATTCCCAGTCAGGGCACATGGCCAGGTGGTGGGCTTGGTCCCCAGTGTGCGGCGTGCAGGAGGCAACCAATCAATGATTGTCTCTCATCATTGATATTTCTATCTCTCTCTCCATCTTCCTTCCTCTCTGAAATCAATAAAAATATATTTTTAAAAAAAGAAGGAACCTTTACCCTTTGCGACAGCATGGATGGACCTGGAGATTATTATGCTAAGCGAAATAAGCCAGTCAGAGAAAGACAGATATCACACGATCTCACTAATATGTGGAATCTAATGAACAAAATAAGCTGATGAGCAAAATAGAACCAGAGGCATGGGTACATGAACAGACTGATAAATGTTAGAGGGGAGGCGTGGGGGGACTGGATAAAAGAAAGGGAAGGGATTAGCTAAAGAACAGATACGCACAGCCCATGGACACAGACGATAGTGTGGTGAGGGCCAAGGGAGGGGGGGAAGGGCCGAGTGGAAGTGGGCACAGGGGAGGGCAGTTGGGGGGCATCTGCAATAGTGTCAACAATAGAAATGTGTTTTTTAAAAAGAAAGAAAGCAAGCAGGGAAGAAGAGTAACTTTACTGTGGAGAAACATGACAAACACTACCTCAGCCACGTGGATCAAGGTCAACTCCACCATGATAAGTCATGTTCATAGTACGCACCCTGGATATGATGTGATGAGAATGGCCCATCACCTTTGCGATCTTTCTCCCCAAAATCCATAACCCCAGTCTAATCATGAGGAAAACATCACACAAACCCCAGTTGAGGGTCACTCTATAAAATACCTGACCAGCATCAAGGTCACCAGGAACCAGGAAAGCCTGGGAAATGCTCACGTCTCCAGGAATCTACAGAGACATGGCAACTAAACCCACAGTGGCATCCGGGATGAAATTCTGGACAGAAAAAGGACGCAAAGTGAAAACTAAGGACATATAAATACCGTATGGATTTTATTAATAATTATGTATTAATATTGGCTCAAATTGTAACAAATGTACTGCACTCATGCTAATAATAGAGGAAACTGGATGTAGGGTATATGGGAACTCTCTTCACAACATTTCTATAAATTAAAACTGTTCTACTAGTAAAAAAATGAAGTTGTTTTTTTAAAAAAAGAGTCAAAAGGTTAAAAAAGATAGTCAATGAAAAGTTTCCCTTCCACCCTTGTCAGCTGTTCATCTTTTTCCCAAGAAAATCCCATGGTTCTTTCCAGGGAGGTTCCAGTGAGACCGTGGGGGTTGGTGTTAGGAGACCGCCTCCTAACTGGCTCTCACCCTGATCTCTGTCTGCCGTTTTCTAGCTGGGTGACCCTCGGTAATCCTTACCCGCTCTGTACTCCGTGTCCTCCAAGATAAACTCCTCAGCGGATTATTGGGAGTGTTAAATGTACATAGTAAGCACCTTATATTGGTTGCTTTTATTATTACAAATATACAAGCAAATATATTTGTGCAACAAATATGTTAAGAACCCTAGCCAGTTTGGCTCAGTGGTTAGAGTGTTGGCCTGTGGACCAAAGGGTTCTGGATTCGATTTCAGCAAGGGCACGTACCTTGGTTGCAGGCTCCTCCCCAGCTCAGACCCTGGTCAAGGCCTATGCAGGAGGCAACCAATTGATGTGTTTCTCTCACATCGATGTTTCTCTCTGTCTTTCCCTCTTTCTTCCACTCTCCCTAAAAATCAATGGGAAAAAATATTCTGGGGCAAAGATTAACAAAAAACAAACAAACAAACAACAACAACAACAAAAAAACAACATAAAAAAAACACACGCAAATTCAGCCCTGGCTGGTGTTTCTCTGATTAGAGCATTGGCTCATGCACCGAAGGGTCTCGGGTTTGATTCCGGGTCAAGGGCATGTACCTGGTTTGCATGTACCCTGGTCGGGGTTCGTGTGGGAGGCAACCAAACGATGTGTCTCTCACAACGATGTTTCTCTATTTCTCCCTCTCTCCCTTCTCCCTCCCTTCCTAAAAACATAGAGTACCAAGATTTATTTAACTAGTTAATGAGTGAACCAGCAGGATGGATCAAAGGAAGAAATGAAAACCATTATTGACAGTCAGTGGGAAAAAAGAATGCTGGAGTAAGATTGCAAAGTCGATACATTGGAAAAAATATCCTCAGGTGAGAATTAACAACCAAAAAAAGAAGAAAAAGAGAAAAATTTCAAAACTTGTAAGTAAGGCACACACAAAATTACTCAGTGCCCCTTCAGAGATATTTTAGACCGTTGGCTAATCACCCCACCTATGGGTCATCTAGGGGAAGTCACTTGGTTTGACATATAATTTCCTAGTGATGGGGCCCAGACTCTGTAAAGTGAAGAGGGTTAAGTTGTAGAAGATTGAAAAATAGCAAATCATTTTCGTCTGGTTGAGGGAAAAAACCCAGTTATGATTTTATTGCAAGGCGGGAATTAACCTTTTGTATCAACTTTGCAACCTTATTCCAGCATTCTTTTTTTCCACTGACTGTCAATAATGGTTTTCATTTCTTCCTCTGATCCATTCTGCTGGTTCACTCATTGACTAGTTAAATAAATCTTGGTACTCACTTTATATTTGTACTAGTCAAGTTTAGCTCTGTGCAAATTTGACAAATAGTAGCATGCCATACGCACTGTTCTACCCCTTGGCTATTTTTCACTCAAACCTCTGGAAGATAGTTTCATATCAGAGCATATAGAGCTGCCTTGCTCCTGTTTTATCACTGTATAGAACACATCACATGGGTATACAGCAATGACACCCAAATCATTTAGCCAGTCCCCAGTAGACACATAGGCTGTTTCCACTCTTATGCTGCAAACAGTGTTGTATGAATGACCTTGTGCATCGGATGACAGGCAGGTGGGGCTCCACAGGGCAGGGCGCCTGTGGGAGGGGGCTGACTCCCTGCTCCCAGTCCAGCCTAGCCCGTCTTCCCCTGGCTCTGTGCACACCCAGCCTCCTTCTCCTGACTCCTCCTCTGCATCCGGAGCTCCTGGTATCGCCAGACAGGAGGGGCCAGCCTGCGATGCCCTGCAGGCCTGGGCTCTGGCTCCCGCCGGCTGGGAGATGAGGGTGCCTTGGAGAGGAGGATCTGGGGGACTGGGGGCTTGGGGCTGGCACTGTCCCTGGGCTGTAGCCACTGAGGGCACATGCTCAGCACACCTTGAGGGCTCTGGTACGGGACGAGGCCCCGGGGGCCAGGGACCACCTGTGGAGGCTGGGGGGCTGGGGGAGGGCGGGGAGCGGTGCCTAGCAGCTCTGGCACAGACTTGCTTCGGGTCCCAAGTGCAGGTGGGCGGTCAGGGCACAGAGTGTGGCAGGCAGTGGTGAGGAAGGGACTGGCTAGGCTGGTCGTGATGGTCACAAGGTGGTCCAGGACACCCCCCTCCTGAGGAGACTGGGCAAAGGGGAGGCTCAAGGTGGCCTGTAATCTCTCCAGGAGAGAGGGGGCAACCTGAGCCTGGGCCTGGGCCACGAGCCCGGGCAGGGCTGGCCACTCCGGTTGGTAGTGCTGGCTGAGCTGCTCCGCCTGGGGCCGCCGCCGCAGCTGCCGGATCCTTCGCACGGTGTCGAAGCTGTCGGTCAGCACCGCCCACTCCAGGGCCGTCTTGCCCCGAACAGGATCCACTGCTGTCAGGTCAGCACCTGGGAGGGGGCACGGGGCGATGTGGGCTGGGACGGGGATGGGTGATTTGCAGGAGGCAAATGCCTTAGCAGCAGGACTGATTTGGGTTAAATTCAAAACCAGAGGCCCGCTCATCTTGTTACGGCTGGAACCTGGGAGTGGCTACAGCCCAGAGACAGGACCAGTCCCAGATCCCAACCTCTGTTTGAGACGGTGAAGGAAACTGACGTACAGAGAAGGGGAAAGACTTCAGAGAGACATGTTGGGGGTCTCCAAACCCAGAACAGAATAGGGACTCCTGAACCGAGGGCCTGACCAGGGGGGTGGTGTGCAGGTTAGGGGCGGGGGGTTCCCTGCTGGTCCTTCTTTTCATCACCAAACCCCTTTAATCCTGGGGGGAGTAGCAAATACTCTGAGTCAAAGGTGAGGGTGCAGAACTCCCTCTCTTCACACCCCAAACCCAATCTGAGGGGTGGGGAAGGGAAAAGCTGCAGGTTGGGGTCCCCCGGAGTTACCAGCAGAGGACAGCTCCCCTGAGGGAATAATGAGAGCCTACGGCTCCACAAACAGTGAGGGCTTCCCTCCAGAGCTCCACGCAGCCACACGTCTCTGTACCGGCACTGTGGTCCTGGAACCCTAGCTGGGCAGAGCTGGAAATCATCTCGGAGAAGGCCTGCGCCTTCATTTCACTGGTGAGGCCCCGAGAGGGAAGCCACGCAGCTGGTGGCAGAGCCAGGATGAGGAGGCGAGGGTCTGCCTCCAGGTACCAGCCTTTTGTATTTCAGTTCTCCAGTTGGTCAGCAAACTCATTAGTCAACAGAGCCAAATATCAACAGTACAACGATTGAAGTTTCTTTTGAGAGCCGAATTTTTTAAACTTAAACTATATAGGTAGGTACATTGTTATTAACTTAATTAGGGTACTCCTAAGGCTTAGGAAGAGCCACACTCAAGGGGCCAAAGAGCCGCATGTGGCTCGCGAGCTGCAGTTTGCTGACCACTGGACGTATCCTCTCGCTTTCTTTTCTGGGACTTCCATTAACAATGTAAACAGAGTTATCTATAGCAGGACTTAGATTGTGAGAAGCCCAACCCCCTCCCCTCATCCAGGAAGCCAGCCTAGATTGATCCTCCGTCTCCACCTTTCTCCTCTCTGCAACTATGACAGCTGACTAGGTGTCTGTTGGGGTGTCTGTTGGGGTGACTGGGGAGGGACTGGAGGCCATGCATCCTGGTCCGTGCAGGCCTATGCACCTGCCATGAGGAGGGCCGCCACGCATTCAGAGCGGTCCCGGACTGCGGCCTTCATCAGCGCTGTCAGCCCCCGCTGGTCTCGGCGCTCCAAGTCCAGGCCCGAGTAGTAGTTGAGCAGGAGACTCACCAGAGGCACGTGGCCTGCAGAGCACCGAAGGCAGATCAGGGATCCCAGGAAAGGGGTGGTGAAGCCCCAAACCCACCGTCCACCCAACACTGCGGAGTCTGGGGTGGGAGAACGCCATGCGGAGTGTGGAGCTGTGGCCGGGTCTGGAGGCCGGGACGGGCAGAGGGTGGGGTCAGCAGCCTCCCACCTGCTTGGGCAGCCAGCATGAGGGCTGTGTCGCCTTCTTTGTCCTGTTGGTTCACATCCAGGAACGGACAGCGGCTGAGTAGGGCCACGATGCTCCCGAAGCCGCGGTAGCATGCGACCATGAGGCCTGTCTGGGGGAGGGGCCGCTCAGCCCCGTGCTTCCCTCCAGGAGCTCCTGGTTCCCTGTGCTTCTAAACGCACACTGTCCCAGAGGTATCCCTGCCCCGTGAAGACCCGCTCCCTTCTTCCTGAGGACCCGGGCACTCTCAGGATGAGTGTGGTGTGGCCGGACC